TCTCTCTGGACTATGATAGTTTTACAGCGATCAGACACAAACCTCCAACGCCACTTCCTAGTTTCGACTGAGTTTGAACGGAGCATTTGCAATATTTGTATGAAACGTTATAAAAAGAGCAGCGGTAAGCCAAAACACCAACCGTAAACTAAGTGGATAGCAACTGCTAAATTTCCTATACATGTGCAGCTACAAAGCTTGCTATTTTAGTCGAGCTTTTTGAAATTGGGCTTAAAACTTGGAGAAAGTTGAAAAGAATGTGCGCGTGGCGTCTTTGACCGCTATGAGACTAGTAGAATAATAATTAGCTGGACAAGGTAGCATGCAAGATACAGACAACTTGACTCTGCTTTTGCCACCTAACAGTTGTTCAGCTCTGAAGATAATCAAAACGCTTCAGCAGCCAAGCAAGCCACAACGGGAACCCAAGTAACAATCAAGGGTCAGGACAGCTTCACGAAAGGAAAAACAGGAGACGATGAAAAGGTAATGGTATATTCAGTTAGGGCACTAAGAATCTACTTGGCTCAACTCCACCAACTGTTGCTTGGTTTTTGGTTTGCTTATAGTAAGTAAGTAACTTTATTTAACCAGGGAAGCCTATTCAGAAACGATGCTGGTATCCATACGGGCCCTGGGGAATACGAATATGTGCAATTTAGATTTTATATGCATGAATATTATTTCCACTGCTTATCTTCCTTGTGGAAATGAATCCTCGCTTTCATAAGATGACATGAACCTGTATCTTCAAGCTATGTTTTTTTTCTAACAGATCACTAGCCAGAGTCGCGACGGTTACGACACAGAAAAGAAACTTATATACACAGTTGAGGGAGAGGTCAGTATCAAAGATTTTCAGATACATATTATATTTGTAAATAAACAAAGAAAACTATAGTAGAATTGGCACGTTTCACGCGATCGTAGGAGTGCTCGATACAAAGACAATATACGCGGAATAGCTCGAAATTAGTTGACGGTTACTCGAAAAACTAGAGAAACTGTCAACTAGCTTTTATCAAAAAGATTTTATGGAGGGGGCGTGGCTTATTGGTTAGGTCGCAGGATTTGTGACCCAGTGGCCTCGGGTTCAAATCTTCCTCCTGCCACTAGATGGGTTTGTGTTTGGTGGTCTCAAAATCAACTCCTCCAAGCTTTGTAATTATAAATAGCCATCTGGTCAGCCTCCCGCCGCAATTAGTACAGTAGTGCTAAACACTCAGACACTTAAATAAAGTGTTTTTTTTTTCTTTATTCGTATCTTTGTAAATATGCAGGATATATAAATAAGACAAAATAAATTGTCGCATTTGAGCATTTCTCAGTTACTTCGGTGTCCGTGTCAGGGTAAATAGCTTACTTTATACAGCGAGGTTAGTTTTTTTTTTTTCTTTTTTCATAGACCCTTTTCATAAATGGCTGCTGATTATCAATTTCTTTTGAAAATGTTAGTTTTAATAGTATTACTGCGGCGGTGATATTTTCATAATAGTTTTGAATAGTTCTAATCAGTATTTAATTTGTGATTTTTACCTGATGAATTGTGATATTAGCGTTATTTAGTTGTTAGGTTCTCATTAGTTATTAGGTGGAATACCTGTAAACTAGCTATCAAGCTAAGCGTATATCCACGTTAAATAAAGCATTCATTCATTCATTCATTCATTCATTCATTTATTCATTCATTCATATATAAATTTCACCCTCACTAAGAACAAAATTCTGTCCGTGTTTTGCTATGTTGCTTTTGTCCTTTCCTCAAACCACGCCAAGCCTGACAAATATGTTTGCCTGGTTTGGTGAGTCTGTTGTAGTTGCTCTTCATTGGCCAACTTTTACAATTCAATTTTGATGTTTCCTATTTCCATCTCATTCCCTTAGCTAGTGTAAATATAATTATATTATAAAAAAAATGAAAAAACTGATTATGAGTAAATCAAATCTTCCGATTCTATTGCTGGAATTTTTTAGAAAAAATTAATGACAGCTTGTTACTTAAAATTGGAAGTTTACGAAAATATCAGTCATCTATAAATATGTAAATATAAATCTATGAAAATATCGTTTTATCAATCTCTGGCCGAGGTTTCCCAGGACAGCGTTTAGGCAGTTTCTTGTCCGTCAATTCAATTGCATCTGTAGAAATGCATTTTTTTTTTTCACTCTTTTGCTGTCAAAAGTTATCAAGATGGCTGTATGGTACAATGGGAGTTTTCGGCTCGGGAATGGAAATATTCCATTGCGGTGTGTATAGGATTTTTCCAATGATTTTCGGAACCATGTCAACTTCAGGCTTTCTTTTGAAGACGTTGAGGTTTTTATATTTCTCTGGTACTTCTTTTCTTACATCTCGCAGTATATCTGCCCAGTTGTCCAGAGGTAGCTGAGGATAATCTCTGTGTTCGTTGTTTATGGCCGTCACTGATGTGTATCGAACGACTTGACCACGAAATATAATATCTGACGCTAAAATAACATATTTTTGACTTTCCCACCAGCTTATCACCTCGTAGTCGAGTCTATAAGGTAAGAGATGCTGAATCGCTTTGGTGTGGAAGGCATTGACAGCGGCGTCAAACGCGATTGTCGCCGGTAAAATTGGCGGGAGATTACCTGCGGCGGTGCGCGGCGAGCAACAAAGCCCGGGAACGTAAGAGCCGTTTGGCACGAGCTTTCCACAGCGACTACAGTAATTACACAGACCTATTGCAGGCTCGTAACCTAAAAGAAAGTTTTCAAAAGCTTGAAGTGGATCTCTAGTTCCTTTGCTGTAACCGATGTCTTGTGTCATGTTTGACGTAAAGGAAAATTCGACATCGTCATCCATAAACACGAAGTACAGGTAATTCTTGTTCCTTTTCAGAGCCAATTGATAAAGAATATTTCGTCCGGCACTCCATGAAGTGTTCTTGCCGTCAACATAGACCACACTGCTTAAATTTCTCGAGGAGTCCAAACACTGTCTCCCCCAGCTTAATACCAAAACATCTCGTGCGGCGCGGCTGTCAAGTTTTATAAACGACGAGAAATGTTCAGACAGGCAACACTCCGCTTGTACGAGATAGACGATACCTTTTCCTTTTTGATTCAACGACCCGTGGTCAAATCCATCGTTATTTAACGTATATAAATTACTTGCGAAGGAGATAACTCGAACATGATAACAGACGACTAAAAATAGTCCAAGTGCAGATAGCAAAAGCAAAGTAAAACTGGAAGGAACATGAATATTCATCCATGGACCGTGTTCAGTCACTCGGTAACCAATTCCTCCGATATTCCTTTCTTCAGAGCTCTTAGATACTCATAATGCTATTTAACTTTAGAGCGGTTTTCAAAATTTCTCCAAAACAAAAACTTCACTGAAGTGTTGCAAACTGTGCCCTCGCTACCAGTAACATGTGGCACCGATTCAGGGTATTATTTTGTATTTCAGGTATACTGTAAAATAAATTACGATATTTCATTTCCAGTGGAACATTGAAAAAATATAAACTTCTTTAAACTTACCACAAACAAATAACTCAGTGCTAGGTCTGGCTTTTATCGCATTGCTAATTACAGTCTGAACCATTTCACACCTTGATACTTGAAGTGTCAGTTGAAAGTGTCACTGGTGTGAAATATTTAGGGCTACAAGTCTGTTATTTTATAGGTCAAGAGTGGTTACGGTTTGGTGGATTTCATAAACTGACACGTGCTCCCCCAGTTGGCAACTCCATTAACCCTAAGAAATGAACAAAACACCAGTTTTTCAATTTGTTTTACCACTTTAGAATACAATTAGTTCATTGTTTCGCGATGTGGGAATAAGGTTCATCAAAAATGGTTAAAAAATCCAAAATATATCGATTCCTTTTAGGTTTGTTTTCCAACTGAAAAATTCGAATAATTTGCGTCTCACTGTTCGCTTCAATGATGCGATTCAATTTGAAGTAAAGTTGTCAACCATTTCTCGTTCAACGACGAAACAAATTAGTTTACAAAATCCAGTTCTGACATTTACGTAAACTGGCATGGCCGTAGCGAACAAACCAACACTTAAATTTCCCTTTATAACGTCCAATTTTCGACTGAAATTTTGTTAACACTTTCACACCTATGAAAATGTTTAGTTATTCTCCGCTATTTATTGTGTTTTACGTTTCAGAGGATAAAGCCATCAACTCTACATTTTTCCCATAATCACCTGTTCTAATGATCACTTCTGTCAAAGCTTTGCCGTCTTTCAAAGCCCAACCTTGACCGAAGCCGCTTGACTACCGAGGTAAAATTAGTTTTCTTTAAAGTAAAGCGCTTCATTTGGTTCAAAGGACATGACTGGAGGAAACAAATTTTAGGAGGAAATTTCTACTAACATGGAGCCAGTCAGTGGTGACACAATATGAAAAATCAAAATTCTTAATAATTCGTCGTTTAATCTATAACCCGCCAAAACTCACAAATTCGGGCCCCAGCTGTCGTAAAAACACGCAAAATTTAAGTGACTCATACCTTCTCATAAACTTCGTTCTGTTCAATCCGCATCACATAAGACTCCAGTTTGAGCCTGGAAAATTACTGTTAAGGGGTTTACAAGTAATTTAAGTCCAATTTTTCTTCCCCAAAATTCTTGATTATGCACACTTTTTCAAGAGGCAAATTTCCTACGCGTTAAAAACACCGTCCCATAAAGCCTTTCGGTGCAGATACATAATGGTCCATAATAAAATCTGTGTTAGTGTTACTGTTAAGCTAGCGAGAGTCTCTGTATAAGCAATGTTGCTCCTGTCAGTCCGATATAAACTAGTTGGCCAAGAAAAAGTTAGCCAAGAAAAAAAAAAAGAAAAAGTTAAAACAAGTTAGCCAAGAAAGGGTCTTAAATATATAAATTTTCGTCTGTAGAGATAGCTATTTATTATCCAGAGAAAAGGAACACACAAATACAGAACGCACTGTTTGCTTAAAGAGGATTTTTATTTCCAAAGTCTTGTGTTGGGCTAATCGTTTTTGGGCCTAATAACCCTTCTAATAGGATACGAACACAATGAATGCAATACTTGAAAAGAGTCATCATAAAAGTACGTTTTTAGTATGCTTACAATTTTCCAAAGACTATCACAGTACCTGTAGGTACATCAGCTTACATTATGCCACAGGACCTAAAGTAATCTATGACAGGTGCGCTCCTATCCTTTTTTTAATTGTGCCCAGAGGAGCCAAGAATGTTTTTGTGTCGACGTCACACTGCGTGTGGAACACCCAGGGCCGCTGGGACACACTTATAGGGTTTGAATTCGCCTACTATCGAGAATTATACGATACCAGGCCCTTGTCGTCAAGCCGACAACCGATCATCGACCGAAGTGTTCCAAAAGGATCCGAATCAAAACGTTCACAGAGCCGAAGCAGAGGCGAGACAAGGCTGTCTAACATTGGAATAATCTCCCACTCCGCACTACAGTCCACACTGTCTGTTCCTCATATCTTTTTAAGTACGAGAATAAATCAGGCGAGTATTTTTTATGGCATATACAATTGTGAGTCCACTCACTATGGAAACAGACATTGTAGCCAGTGCCGGGGTGTGTTATATTCCCATGTCTAACAAAAGTCATCGGCGCGCGCGTGCCAAAAAAGGACAACCACAACAACCTTTCTGTTATTATTTTATAAAAAAAGACTTAATATTACCTAAAAGAACGTCTTAAATAAATAAACAATTATTCACCGACCTCAGAGTTAATAATTGTTGCATGAGTATGTGCCACGCCAGTGAGTCAGTGAATCAGGAAAAAACAAATACAGTGTGAAGTTATTTAGCGAAATCATTCCATACTGACTTAAAAGAATTGAACGGGTTTTGTTTATCGATGGATCGATCGATCAACCTATCAATTAAAGCTTCCAAACTCAAACCACTATTCACCAGTGTGGTACATACCAACTCTATGATTATCCTCTATGCTACCTGCACTATAATGCTCTTGACCAACTCAGATGTGATGACAAGTCGATGCTGTTTTGTCATCTTGTGTGGATATTCCAGTGTATTCATTGTTTTCTTGCTGTTCCAGTTGTTACGATGCCCGTGGTTTGTCGACATTACGTCTACCTAACTAATTTGCTCTAAAACTGTTTTGCTAGTCCGCGAAAACATTGGCTCTTCTTTATCCAAGCTTTAGTACTTACCCTCAACTGTTTTCGAGTTAGTTTGACTCGATCCAGTCTTCAAGACGTCATCCAGTTGCTCCGCCGAATGGAAAGTCTACCAACGCCTACAATTTGTAGACGGTCTAAGCTTCCTGCGCCTGCGAAGTGCAATGCAAGCGGA